AAAAGAGTCTTAAGAGCAGGCAAAAGAGTCAGCGATATAGCCACTCCTATTGTTAAGAGTCCCACAAAAATACCAAGCTAAAAGCCATAACATGCATATACAAGAGGACCTGGTGCAGACCCATGCAGGCTCCAAGCTTGCTGCTTCAGTCTCTGTGAGCCCATAGAAGCCCTGTTTTGTGAAGTCTGTGGGCTATGTTCTTCCAGTGTCCTTCATCCCCTCTGATTCCTATAGTCTTTTGTCCCCATCTTCTGTGGGGTTTCCAAGATCTCTGAAGAGGAGACCTGTAACATGAACGGGGGCCTTGTTTGTTGTTGTGGTTTTTATCCCGCCCTGTTCCCCACAACTGCTTAGCCCCAAAGAAAATCACACACAGGTCTCCATAAATTATAAGCTGATTGGCCCATTAGCTCTAGCCTCTCACTGGCTAACTCTCACATCTTGATTAACCCATTTTTCTGAGCTATGTTAGCCATGTGGCTTAGTACCTTTTTCAGTGAGGCAGATCACATCCTGCTGCTTCGGTGATCTGAGCAGGAGTGGGAGAAATCAGCTTCCTCATTTCCAGAATTCTCCTGTTCTCATTACATCATTTCTACTTTCTGTCTGGTTTTTCCACCTATATTTCCTACCTGGCCAATCTGCATTTATTTATAACATGATGACAGAATACAGACAATTCTCCCACACCAGGGATCCAATAAAAGACCTCCAATTTATACTCTCTCTCTTTATAATGTCTAGTTGTGGGTCTCTGAACCTGCTCCTATCTGTTGTCTGCTACCTGAGAAAGCCTGTCTGATAATGACTGAAAAAGGCACAGATCTATGAGTATAGGAGACTATCATTAGGAATCATGTCATTGATTTTATTTTTTTAAGACCATCCTTGTTTGGTTCTACAGTAGGAGTCTGAGATATCTAGTCTCTGGTTTCTTGTCATCCAAGCAGTGCTGGGCATGGGCTCCCTCTTATGAAGTGGGCCTCAAATTAAATCAGATGTTAGTTGGCCACTCCCAGATATTTTGGGAGACCATTGGCCCAGCACATCTTTCAGGCAAGACAGATTGCAGGTGGAAGGTTTTGAGGCTCGGTTGGTATCCAGGTTTATCTTTCTAAATCCTGCAGAGTACCTTCTCACACTAAAGGAACTAGGAAGCAGAGGTGATGGCTCCTAGCTCACATCAGCTCAGTTACTCTATGTTCAATGAGCTCTTAACTGTCCTTCTAGGACTTCTAGATTTCCATATACTCATTAATACTTTTCATGTCAATTCTATTCCCATAATCACTTTTCTTCTATTTCCTTAACACCCATAGGATTTTTGTTATGATTTTCATTTTACTTTAATTGTGTAACTTCTTATAATTTATCTCATTTTAACTTACATTGATGTTTATATATGACACTTCATGGTTTAAACAATTTGTTATGTTCTTTGGAAACTTTATAATCCAGTGACAGTTTACTATGCTTCTGTATTATGCCAGCATATCATCATTCCACCCTATCTATGTTACTTAGCTCTGTGAAAATGGATGACTTTGTCTCCTATTACCTTAATTTCTTCTTCTGTAAAACAGAAGGAATGATACTTTATTGCAAGATTAGTAAGAATACAAACAAAAAATTTTCCAGAACCTTTCTTGATTCATATGCCTATCTTTGACATTGTATTAAGATTTTCCAGTGAAACAGAACTGATAGAATGGATACAAACACACACACATAGACACACACACATATAGACACATGCACACTCAATCACATACATATACACACTCAATCATATACACACATACTCAGTTACACACATACACATACTCAATCACATGCATGCACACACTCAATCACATAATACACACACACACACACACAAAGAATACACATATAAAGGAGATTTATTAGAATGGCTTACAGGCTGTTCCCTGCCTTGATTAATAATGGCTGTCATTTGGCTGAAAAGCTAAAAATCTGGAAGTTTTGCGGTTCACAAAACTGGATATCTCAGCTGCTCTTCAGTCTATGTTGGGATCTCAAAACAGTAGAGTAGGTGTTAATACTAGTGAAGGTTTTAACACCACATAAGCAGGATAGCTAAGTTTGCCAGAGAGAATGAAAGCAAACAGTAAAAAAGAAAAAGCTTCCTTTTTTTTGTTGGGGGTGGTGAGGGTTTTGAAATAGGGTTTCTCTATGTAACAGCTGTAGCTGTCCTGGGACTAGCTCTGTAGACCAGGCTGGCCTTCTTCCTTTTGTTTCTTATGTGGACTGCCACTAGAAGGTATGGGCCAGATTTAAGGTGGATTTTCCCATTTCAGATAAAAACCTTTCTTTTTTTTTGTTGTCAAAGCCTCCATTTATTAGTGTAATGGCAGCAGCTTATATAGCCCTTGGATGAGGAATTTGGCTTGGGATGAGGGCAGGGGGCAGGAGCATGGGATCTTGCCGGGGCAGCAATTGTCACGAGTCAACACTTGGTCACGAGTTGACACACCTAGTGTTCTCTATGCAAGCAGAATCATTCCTTTTGTGATTCCAACCACAAACAGTTCTCTAGATAGTTGGAATGTGGGGCAGGTTCCACTAGCAGATAACTCTCAAGATAGTTGGGTGTGGGGTAGACTCAGCCAACAAACAGTTTTCAATACAGTTGGGGTGTGGGGCTCTCTGCAAACATCCCCAGGACAATGGTCCCTGCAATACTTTTGGGGGGAAATGGCTCCTGACAGATCCCCCTTCCTTTTATAAGGGCAGGCAGCTATCAAGTGGAGGGAACTAGGTCAGAGTCCAACTATGTTGTCAGATCTAAAGGAGAAGGGACTGGGACAAGGAGAGCCCTTCCTCTTGAGTGGTGGAGCAATGTTCCTCTCCTGGAACAGAGGGGTGCCTTATGAGTAGCATTAGTTCCTTGGAGCTCCTCAAATAAGGAGGTCTCTGATCACAGGGTTCTCTGTCTTAGGCTATGTGGAGGGCTATCCTCGTCCTGATACCATGCCATGTTAAGCCGGCCTGTATGGCCTCTGTATGATGTGCTGTTCAGGGGAGGGCTCCACAATATTTCCGTCATTGTGCAGATAAAATCTTTCACAGGTGTGTCCAGCTGTTTGAGTTTTGGTTGATTCTAGATAGATTGTCAATAAAGATTGTCCATCACAGACATCATCAATTTTGTCATGGTTGGTACTTGGGAACTATGTCTTCATAAAATATTCAATAAATAAAATAGAAACAAGAGTTGGAGAGATGGCTCAGCAGTTAAAAGCACTTGATTGCTCTTTCAGAGGTACTGAGTTCAATTCCCAGAAACCACATGGTGGGCTCACAACCATCGGTAATGGGATCAGCTTGCTTCTTCTGGTGTTCATGAAGACAGGCCCTCATATGCATAAATGCACAAATAAATAAATCTTTAAAAACATTTAAAATGAAAATAATTAAAATATTTTTACATTGTTACATAGAGCATAGTTTACTATGTTTATTACCTGTGTGCTATATATGTTTTATTTTTATGAATTCCTTATAGACCACCTTGAAAATTCAGGTCCTACATAATCAATATCTGAGTGACTCAAAACCACTGAAAGTTGGATTTATTAGAATCTGGGGTTTAAACTCCTCTTCTGTGGTAAATGTTCGTGTTACCTACAACAACCAGCAATTCATTGAGAACAATTTCACAAGTGACCCCTACAATCAGGTATGTCTGAAAGGAATGCCTCATAAACTCACTTTATTATTCTATTGAATCCTCTCTGCCATTGCTGTTAATATATGTGATACATGGTAGAAGTATTGTACATCTATAGAAGAGTGTTTCTGAAAAGCTGTGAGGACTGGACTGTGAGGTATACAACATTGATGGTCTTCTGTTTGCAGTCTGGCATTGATGATCTGTAGTCTGATGATATTCTCTCTGTTTTGATCACTAATGAATTGATTTGTTTTGAATAGATTGGCTTTCTTGACTACCGAACAAAACATAGCAACATTTTGCTCAGAGGCTAAAGACAAGGAATGGTTGTGAAAGTTCCTCTCTCTTTCCCGCAGTGTACCCATCCCTGGGCAAAATAATGCTTCTTTTAAGTTGGTGCTTAACTGTTACTATGATTAAGTGACTTCACTTTACTCATAGTATAAGATATGCGTATTTGTGTAAAACCACAGAGTACCATAAATACTTGACTATTAAAACTATTATAGTGACAGCCTTGCCCTAAGTGAAACAACATTCTGTAAGATGGAGTATTTATAGAAGAGCAACCTGTATAATCCTAGCTTTAGAATCTGGATAGTACTTCAGACCATGGATTAATTATAAAAGATGTAGTAGCCCAAATAGAATGGTTCAAAGAAGTGAAAACCGATAACTACAGTTTCTGATTCTAAATGGTGAAAATAGTGCCCTACCAGTATTGGGATTTTGGAAAATGAGAATTCTGAGCACTCAAGTGGATGTTTCTCCCTGTGGGATACATATTTATTATTAATAGATACAATAATATATACTTAGGATTACTAGATTCAAATTTACTCTGAAAGTATTGTTTCTAATTAACCTAGGTGCAGAAAATAATCACAGAGTTTCATTTTTGGAAAACCCTATAACATATTTAATGCCTACTCTTTGTCAGGCATTATTAGGGGTGACAGTAATAAGGTCACAAAATGAATCTGCTGTCAGGAAAGGTAATTTAATGATAAAATGACAGAGCAAAATAAATGTTAAATTTAAGCACAACTGTGAATATTTGAAATCAATATGACTTGGATATAAGAGAGTGTGAAGAAAGGGATGAAGAGCATTTCTTACACCAGAACACCTCCCCATGGTGATCTCTGACCAATAAAACCTGGCGAGATTTGTGTCATTTACACTTTGTGAAGATTGAGTACCTTTTTTGTTTTTTGGCTAAGATAAAGGCTGCACAGTGACTTCAATACAATGCTTAATAAGTTCTAATATATTAATATGATCTTCTTTTGGCAGAAACTAACAATTCAACTGACGGAAAAGAATGTGAACCTAGAAAAGATGACAGAGATTATCTGGGTTTATGGAGATCCTATACTTCCCCCACCAGATACAACCAGTGTATTTCCCACAAGCCCTCACACAACTGCATCTAGCACTGAACCCTCAACCAGTATTGCTGTCACAACTACACCTGAAACAGAAAGTACTTCCACACCCACACTTCCTGAAATAACTACACCTTTCCCTACAAGTTCTACTGCTAACTCTAGTGATGTGATTCCTATGACAACCCCAACTCCTGAAATAACTACTACCGACAGTACAACTGCCCCCACATTTCCTGACACAACAACACCTATAACCGTGAGTCCTACTGCTAACTCTAGTGATGTGATTCCTTTGACAACTACAACTTTTGAACCAACTGTTGACAATACAACTGACCCCACATTTCCCAATACAACTACACCTTTCCCCATGACTCCTACTGCTAACACTAATGATGTGATTACTATGACAACCCCAACTCCTTATCCAACTGTTGACAAAACAACTGACCCCACATTTCCCAATACAACTACACCTTTCCCCATGACTCCTACTGCTAACACTAAAGATGTGATTACTATGACAACCCCAACTCCTGAACCAACTGTTGACAATACAACCCACCCCACATTTCCCAACACAACTACACCTTTCCCTATGAGTCCTACTGCTAACACTAGTGATGTGATTCCTTTGATAACTACAACTCTTGAACCAACTGTTGACAATACAACTGACCCCACATTTCCCAACACAACTACACCTTTCCCCATGACTCCTACTGCTAACACTAATGATGTGATTACTATGACAACCCCAACTCCTTATCCAACTGTTGACAAAACAACTGACCCCACATTTCCCAATACAACTACACCTTTCCCCATGACTCCTACTGCTAACACTAAAGATGTGATTACTATGACAACCCCAACTCCTGAACCAACTGTTGACAATACAACCCACCCCACATTTCCCAACACAACTACACCTTTCCCTATGAGTCCTACTGCTAACACTAGTGATGTGATTCCTTTGATAACTACAACTCTTGAACCAACTGTTGACAATACAACTGACCCCACATTTCCCAACACAACTACACCTTTCCCCATGACTCCTACTGCTAACACTAATGATGTGATTACTATGACAACCCCAACTCCTTATCCAACTGTTGACAAAACAACTGACCCCACATTTCCCAATACAACTACACCTTTCCCCATGACTCCTACTGCTAACACTAAAGATGTGATTACTATGACAACCCCAACTCCTGAACCAACTGTTGACAATACAACCCACCCCACATTTCCCAACACAACTACACCTTTCCCTATGAGTCCTACTGATAACACTAGTGATGTGATTCCTTTGATAACTACAACTCTTGAACCAACTGTTGACAATACAACTGACCCCACATTTCCCAACACAACTACACCTTTCCCCATGACTCCTACTGCTAACACTAATGATGTGATTACTATGACAACCCCAACTCCTTATCCAACTGTTGACAAAACAACTGACCCCACATTTCCCAATACAACTACACCTTTCCCCATGACTCCTACTGCTAACACTAAAGATGTGATTACTATGACAACCCCAACTCCTGAACCAACTGTTGACAATACAACCCACCCCACATTTCCCAACACAACTACACCTTTCCCTATGAGTCCTACTGCTAACACTAGTGATGTGATTCCTTTGATAACTACAACTCTTGAACCAACTGTTGACAATACAACTGACCCCACACTTCCCAACACAACTACACCTTTCCCCATGACTCCTACTGCTAACACTAATGATGTGATTACTATGACAACCCCAACTCCTGAACCAACTGTTGACAATACAACCCACCCCACATTTCCCAACACAACTACACCTTTCCCTATGAGTCCTACTGCTAACACTAGTGATGTGATTCCTTTGATAACTACAACTCTTGAACCAACTGTTGACAATACAACTGACCCCACACTTCCCAACACAACTACACCTTTCCCCATGACTCCTACTGCTAACACTAATGATGTGATTACTATGACAACCCCAACTCCTTATCCAACTGTTGACAATACAACCCACCCCACATTTCCCAACACAACTACACCTTTCCCTATGAGTCCTACTGCTAACACTAGTGATGTGATTCCTTTGATAACCACAACTCCTGAACCAACTGTTGACAATACAACCCACCCCACATTTCCCAACACAACTACACCTTTCCCTACCAGTGCTACTGCTAACACTAGTGATGCTATTCCTTCCACAGCTACACGTCCTGAAATAACTACTGCCGACAGTACAAGCGACACCACGTTTCCTGACACAACTGCAGCTTTTCCTACAAGTCCTCCTACAGCTAACAGTAGTGATGCCATTCCCTACACAATCACAACTCCTCAACCAACTGCTGTGGATAATGCAAATAACACCACTATCACGACATAGCTACACCTTTCCTACAACTCCTCCAAATGCTAACACTAGTGATGTGATTACTTTCATAACCACAGCTACGGAAGCAAGTACTGCTGACAGTGCAACCAGTACATTTCCCAACAACTAGTCTCCATACTGCTGCCACTAGTGATGCGATTCATTTCACAATCACAGCTACGGAAGCAAGTACCGTTGACAATGCAGCTAGTACCACACTTCCTCCAATAACTACACCGTTTTCTCAGAGTCCTGCTATTGTTAGCACTACTGCTGTGGTTCCTGCCACAATGACAGCTACTGAAAGAAGTTCTGGGGATGCTGCACACTCGATGGTAGTGGTAGTGCCATGCTCTCATTCAGTGGGTCTAGGCCAGTGGTTCTCAACTTTCCTAATTCTGTGACTGTTTAATACAGTTCCTCATACTGTGGTAACCCTCGACCGTAAAATTATTTTGTTGCTTTTTCACAATGTGATTTTTCTGCTGTTATTGATCATAATGTAAGTTATTTGATATGTGACCCCTGTGGAGGTCAAGACCCACAGGTTGAGAGCCATTGGTAGCGCTAGAACACCACCCAGTACAGAATCATTACCTCAAAAAACTCTTTGAAACAAAGCTACAAAAGTTTGTGAATAGACTTAAGATAACTTGTATGCCATGAACAGTTTTTGTCTAATTATAGCAGATGTTTTCATTCCAAACATGACTTTACCCAAGAAGGTACTATGGTGGTCGTGATGTCTGAATGTATACCACAATTATTTCTTATGTTAGCTATTATACCTATGACCTTATTGGTTAAATGACACATATGTCCATGACCTCCACTTGCAATGGTAGTACCTCATACCGTAACACAGCACATTCTGTGACTACTATTTCTATAGGTTTTTTGATATAGTACTACTCCTATTGTTTTCTTGGGTTACAAGGCCTAATTCAATATCGGAGAGTCCTGGTGATACTCAAGTTACCTCACAGCCAACTGCTTACTGATCTAGGAGATTCTTCTGTCTATGTGTTGCTTTCATTGGTTGAATAAAGAAACTGCTTTGGCCTTTTGATATGGCAGCCCTTAAGTGGGTGGAGTAGAGAGAACAGAGTGCTGGGAAGAAAGGCAGTGTGGCAGACTCAAAATGTGTTATATTTTTCGAGTAGGAATACTCAACCTGTACATCTGTTTATAGATGCCAAACTACACTAGAATTTTGAATTTACCCTTATGAGATAGCTTTAGGCCACTACTGTTCCTACTAATGAGTAACTCTGATATGTCTACAAATTAGAACTTACCCAGACAGAGGTAAGACTGTAGGCATAGCCCCAGGAGACACTCTATTCTGGATTGGAGTTTAGAATCATGGTCACCTATTTCTTTATTTTGTTATTTTATTGTTGTCTATCCTTTGGTGTATTAGAGATTCCTGAATGATCTTGATAGTTGATATATAAATTTACCACTCATCTTTGGCCTGCTGCTTCGGTAGATCACTCTCTATCCTTGACAACAGATTCACGGATATTGCCAAATTAAGCTAATTAATTGGGCACTATTGAAGGCTTGAGAAGTATTCTCGAAATCTGTAGTTATAAAATCTGTGGGTACCCAGGACCCTTTGTAAAGTCAATAGCATCAAGTCTGTGTTTATAATACCAGTTGTTATTTGTGTCTTTCGCTCTTGTTATCTTACTGGTACATAGTGGCATTTTTCAGAGACTCCAATGTGGCATTGCAACAGAAAGAAGCAGAAACAGCTGTGAAGAAGGTGCTTTTGCTGTTAAGACATTAAAAAAACTTACAAAATGTAAAAAAAAAATCATGTTCTTACTCTTTGTTTTTGCCTTTGAAAATATGCCTATTTTTTACAAAGGTATTATTTATGTTAATATAGTTGATATGTTGTTATTTTTAATTAACAAAAATAAATATTTATAAAATACTTTGTAAATGACTCAATTTAAATTTTGTATGCAATAAATATTAACAGGAATAACTCACATAAGCAATTCAATATCTTCACTGGATTTGACTGTAAAGAGATCCTGAGACCAAAGAATTTGAAATCCACTTCATTAGGTTTACAGTGTATCTTGTTTCTATCCTCGTGTATTTGTTAGTTCTACCAATGATAGCCCCAGAATCTTTGATTTACTCTACATGAACATCCCTTCCCCTTCTACAAACATTTTCCTGGCGTTCTGACCTGCCATGACAGAGGTTCTGTGCTTTGGAATGCTCAACGGCACTCTGTATGAAGAAGATAGATTCATCAGTTATACTTGTTTCTTGTAATTGACACACAAGTTACAACCATTTGAACAAAGACGAGATCATATATTCAGGATTATATGGCTCTTGCCTGTTCCTTCCAACCCAAACAGAACTTATCTCTCTAGAATGTCATGGATTCCGTTACTTTTATCTTCACTAATAGGAGTTTAATGTGCTACATTTTTGGCATTACAAACTTAGGTGTGGATTGTGGGCCTGAAAGTTTGCTTTGTTTGTTTCTTGTGGGTATGCATATGTACATGGTTTTGTATTAGTGCGCATGTGCATGTGGGAACACATACACAAGTTACAACCATTTGAACAAAGACGAGATCATANATACCTCATGCATGTGGATGCCAGAGGTAAATATGGAGTGTCTTTCTTAGTTGCTTTCCATCTCATTTTAAGATAAGATCTCCCAATGAAATTAAAGCTCATTACTTAGGTAGATGTGCTGGCCAGGTCTGAGATTATGACTGATATTCTAACTCTCGCTTCTGCAAACAAGTTTCCAGGCCCAGGCTACCAGATGAAAACATCAGAGGGATATTAATAGTTCACCCTCCACCCCTATAACTAGTACACCTTAACTAAATGACCTCACACACTCTAAATCACAAGTTTTAAAGACACAAAAGCAGGATGTCTTTCTCCCCTGCTGGGAATGCAGGATCACCCTCCCACCACTCTCCTCCTAGAGTCAGAGATGGCTTGACTACAAGCAGTGAATAGGCCAGTCATCAACTGTGAGTCATAAAGCCCCCCTCTAAAACCTATAAAAAGGGTCTGACCCCAACACCCCATGCTGTACTCTATGATATTAATAACGCTTCTAATATTCTCTCTCACAAAAGGACAATCTGCCTCAGTGTCCCCTTGAATCTAAAATCCAGGATCTTTTAGTGTGCCTAGATAAAATACAACAGAGGAAAATAGATTTTAAGAGCCACATGGATTAAAATTTCCACCCCATCTAAGGTTCCTTATACCACATCTTCCAGGACATTAGCATATGGGTCAGGACTTCCTTGAAAGTCTGCCTACTGAATTGTTGGGCAGTAGTACAAGTGGTCTAGGAAAATGTTCTAAAGAGATATGAATTTGGAAAACTCTCTTTGATTAAGGTGGCAAGATATTCTGCTTACATATCATGAGGATGGGAAGTGGTTCTAATCAGTTCAGGAGCTGAGTATTTTGTAGATTCTGAGGGCAAAAGCTTTGAATATTGTCATATTCCAGTAATGGCATTTGTAATGACGAGCTTGTTATATCTCATGTCCTTAGTACACTTCGCCAGTGTGAGAAGAGGGAGCACTCTATCAGGAAGCAGAGCTACAATGTTAGACCACATTCCTTGGAGCTTGAGATGGTGTTTAGTGAAATCATATTCTTGATCACCAGGGGATTAAAATCATGCCAAACACCTTGAGACATCCAGAGTAAGGGTGACTTCTTGAGGACATAATGAACAAGGCAACCCATAGATTGGCAAAGTGAATCTAAGAATTCATAGACATGGTTTTCAGAAAATCTTAAGTGAGCACCTTGGACCTTTAGTAACCACTGAAACTCCACAAAAGGTTTATACTTCATCTATTCTTTTCCCATGGAGATCTTCAACAGGTGTTATGCTATGGGGATAATGACTTATTTTTCTCTACTTTGCTTTTTACTTATGCTCAGAGCTCATTTCAACCTGCCTTCCCAAATAGGATCTTCACACTGAATGACTTATATGTGACAATGTAACATGTGGAAGGATAAACAATAAAGAAGTTGTATTTGGGGCAACCACAGCCTCCTGATGCTTTAACCTGGCAATTCAAGAGGCTTCCAAATTGTTTCTCATGGACCAAAGATTAAAACAAAAGAGACTGTCAAAGGAAGCAAGTTGAATTCTATTTAATGTAATAATTCAAAATTTATTCCTGTGTACACAGAGCCCCTTCCATTATGAAAAATTGCCCTTTCTTCTCTAGTATACTTCTAGCATAGTCACATTGCCTCTGAAAGAACTGGACACAAAATATCATTAGAAAAGAGAAGTAATAGCTTTCTCAAGGGCCATGCTTGTGCCAAGGGGTTTACAATGCTTTACCTCTGCACTCAAGTCCCATCCCACTCAGCATCAATTTGAGAGGAAGCAGGGCACTAAAACTCTTAGAAAGTGGATCCATCATCTAACATTCAGACTTGGAGGCAGAATTTCTCAGACAACATGTGATTGTATCAATGGTTGTGCTTTAAGAATAACTTGAAAGTGAACTGTAGATAAAATTCGAGAGTCTGCAGTGTCATAGTTTCGTTTATCAAAAATGGCACAGACAAATGTCTTTTAGAGGGGTCATATCAAGGGATTGTTTCTGTGGTTCGTGATAGGGGAGTAGGTGGCATGAGGAGACAGAATCATACTCCAGTCTGCAACATGGCAAGGAGCCACGAGAGTGTACCCTGCAGGAACAAGGTAACAACCAGAGGCAGGTGCCTCAGGGTGGCAGTATTGGAGCCAGAGAGGGCCATTGGTGCAGCCCTGAAGCCTGCAGGGGTCTTGTCCTGAGGTTCCACTTTGCCTCCAGAGGACTCTAAGCACGGACCTCGAGGAGTTGGGATAATATCAGGAATCCAACCTGTTGTATTTTCTACTTCTTCCTGAAGGAGATGGGACAAATGAGTAAGTTCAGAAAAATTCCTTCTTTTTTTCCTTTCATTGAAACTTTATCATTCCTGTCCTATGAGCTAACTGAGAGGCTCCAACCATATCTACAATGCAGGGCAGCAACAGCTTGTCTTTCTGCTTCTTCTGAGTCCCTTCCCCAATTCCTATTATTGCCATTTGCTTCCGCCATTCTTTGTCTTGCCCAATCCCATCTTCCCAACCATGCAAGGTAGTGTCTCCTGTGACACGCACATCAATAGTCTTGATCAGCACTGTCTGCTGGGACTCCTTGCAAGCTTTCTCTGCTTTTTTAATGTTCTCTGGTGTCCATTCAACATTATTCAGGACCATCAGGTTCTCCATGGGATTCCTATGGATGGAAGAGTTATTAGGACAGGGACTTGGGAGTAATCATTGGTGAAATGCCCCTCTGACAAAATAGGTTGAAAACACGCTGGCAAGAACTACATGTACATTGTATAGCTAAGCTGATATTCTTAGTGAGTTTGGCAAGAGCAACATATCAGAGAAAACTAAGGACATCGAAAAAGAGGTTGTTCTTTAAGGATGTGGATCTTCATGTGGGTGCCATAGGGTCTGGAAGGCTGATGAATTGCCTTCAGAGAACTTGCAATTGCCCTGAAGTTGTAGTGTGTCTATTAAGGATTTTTTCTGCTTCTTATTAGAGTCTTATAAGGGTGGGTACTTACTTAAAAGTTTGAACATGACTGTAAACTAGTGTTCAAGTGCAGCAGGATAGAGAAATTTGTGCATATGGTATCTGACTTTCCAGGGTCAGTTGTCATCTGCTCCTCTTTACTGTGCCTTTACTAATACAGAAACTCTCGCACAAAACTCCTGTGGTCAGAGCTTTTTGAGCAAACACTGGAAAGAGCAAGAGTGAGGATTGCAGGGGGATGATTAGGCCATCCCC